TTCTTTTTTCTTCTTTCATTATTTTACAGTTCTTTACTTATACAGTTACTGTTATCATGAGTACCTATCAATGAATTTTGGGGTACTTATAGTCACCATTAGTATTGGACTTATGCTTGCATTACTATTTTTTGTACTTCTATACTCCTCTGTTTTGCTAAAATATTTAAACCAGACTATGTTCCAGAATGATTTTGGATGTAGCAGTCTATTTTCAATAAAGCTCGTTGAATGAGAAAACAATAATTTATTGAATAAAATACTCATTCAGCACACTTTATTATTAAAAAAGGTTTTATTCTTTCATCAAAAGAAATGGTTTATCAAACGGTACATTGCTACATGTATTTCCAGCATTGGACATTGCCCATTTGTTGCCCTCAATAAAAAAAATCAAGGAAGTGTCTTACCCTAGAGTATCGTTTCAGCGATGTGTCAAAGCCACAGTCAAAATGCCAGTCAACAATTGGTTGAAAGATACTCTTCATGGTGCTGTCACTGAAGGCATCGATTGAGAGAACATTAAAATGGTGTAGAAGGCGAGGGGTTACTGCATTACCTCCACCAGCAGGAGGTGCCATGGCCAGCACAAGAGATATGTCTTTGATTTTGATCATGCTTGTGTCTTTCCTGCCAATAAATACATAAATTAAAGCTTTCAGTTCAACAATTTGCATTGCATGAATATTAGGAAACATTTTATTACTAAGGATTTCTAAAGTAAAATAAGTCATATAAGGCCAGGCTTTCAGGTCTTCAGGAGATGAACAGGGGATTAGATCTCACATGCTGTCAGATCAAGATGATGGACTGCCACCAGCTGTGGAGAATAGCTTATATTCTAAATGAAAATACAGCTTTCTTTTAAAATTTGCTAGCAGAAGTAAATCGCTGTGATGGACATTCCCAGCAAAAGCAAACACAAACACATAACAAAGAAAGTTTTTATTCCTCTTTTCCCTACAAATACCTCCTTCTAACATCATCTTGGAGTGAGCAGAATCTAACAATAGCAGAAAATGGAACAAAAAATGAATTTGAATGATATAGGATTTCATATACCAAGCCTGTTGTAGGTTTTATGCTTCTGTCACACAGCAGGGGGTCAAACAAGACTGAACAGTTACAGAAAATTGTGAAATACAGAATATATGTGCATTCTTAAGTACAGCAGGAAGATTTGAGGCAGGATGTTCTCTATGAAATAATTTTATTTAAAGAAATCTATATTCTGCCAGCATCAAAATATTGTAAAAATGGAAAAGTAAAAGTGCAATTCTGTGTTTGTTAAAGCATTAAAGAACTGATTAAGCATACTATAGATTTTAGATCATTTTGACAGCAACTTACAAGCAGCAATATAATATATGCCTTTGATTATATACATGCATAAGATGATTCAATGAACCAAAGCTGTTTAAGTAGAAATGTATTCTATGGTTAAATTTATTTATTTATTTATTTTTGGCTGTTCATTCTCTAAATAGTCATAACAATGTCTATATCAATCATTGTAAGTATTCTTGCTTCAATAAAAGCAGAGCTGAAGCTGAATATTTTGTTACTTTAAGTAGAAAGGTTGTGTGCTCAAAAAAAAACCAGATAAAGTTGATGTAGGAAAGTGTTAGATCTTCCAACCCGCACTACCATTAGCCCTCTGTGGCATTTATACATTTATAAGTTTGCCTGTAAACCTCTATTATGATAAGCCAGAAGTCACTACAGAGGAGCTACCCTTCTCAGTACTCTTAAAATGCTGAACTCATGTGTCTTCATAATTGAGGTATGACAATTCTAATCGCCTCCCCAGCTCAGTAAGCCCTGCCTTTTTACTACAGTGTTGCAACTAGCGCAACACACTGCACATAGGAATTGTGATTTTTACCACCATAAAGTAGATTGTATAGTTAGACAAGTACAAATAATCCATGTATTACCTTGCAATGAAAATTTCTTTTTCTTTTTTTTTTTTTTAATATTTATAGTTCATAAAATAGCTGTTCTTTGAAAACAGGCATTCCTAATGTCTATACATACTCTGGATATTGTTGCATAAGCAAGAATATGTGCAATAATTTACTGGTCCATTTGTATTAAGTAGATTTTGCCCTTACAATAGAAAATACCTTAGATAGGTATGGTATGGTTTTAAACTGCACCTTTAGAACAAGTGAATTAACATCATATGATGACAGTTGACAGTATAAGCAATTAAGACAATTTATATACACTATACTGCCAAAAGTATTGTGACACCTGCCTTTACATGCACATGAACTTTAATGTCATCCCAGTCTTAGTCCACAGGGTTCAATATTGAGTTGGCCCACCCTTTGCAGCTATAACAGCTTCAACTCTTCTGGGAAGGCTGTCCACGAGGTTTAGGAATGTGTCTATGGGAATGTTTGACCATTCCTCCAGAAGCGCATTTGTGAGGTCAGGCACTGATGTTGGACGAGAAGGCCTGGCTCACAGTCTCTGCTCTAATTCATCCCAAAGGTGTTCTATTGGGTTGAGGTCAGGACTCTATTGTGCAGGCCAGTCAAGTTCCTCCACCCCAAACTTGCTCATCCATGTCTTTATGGACCTTGCTTTGTGCAAGTCATGTTGGAACAGGAAGGGGCCATCACCAAACTGTTCCCACAAAGTTGGGAGCATGAAATTGTCCAAAATGTCTTGGTATGATGAAACCTTAAGAGTTCTCTTCACTAGAACTAAGGGGCCAAGCCCATTCTCTGGAAAACAACCACACACCATAATGCCCCCTCCAACAAACTTTACACTTGGCACAATGCAGGCAGGCAAGTACCGTTCTCCTGGGAAGTGCCAAACTTAGACACGTCCATCAGATTGCCAGACAGAGAAGTCTTATCATGTCTCCAATGCTCTAAAGTCCAGTGGCAGTGTGCTTTACATCACTGCATCCGACGCTTTGCATTGCACTTGGCAGTGTTAGGCTTATACAGCTGCTCGGCCATGGAAACCCATTCCATGAAGCTCTCTATGCACTGTTGTTGTGCTAATCTGAAGGCACATGAAGTTTGGAGGTGTTTAGCAATTGACTTTGCAGACAATTGGCAACTTCTGCGCACTGTGTGCTGCAGCATGCGCTGACCCTGCTCTGTCATTTTACATGGCCTACCATTTTGTGGCTGAGTTGCTGTTGTTCCCAGTTGCTTCTTCTTTGTTATAATACCACTAGAAGCAGTAGAAGTAGTCTGCATGCCTAGGTGCTTGATTTTATACACTTGTGGTCATGGAGGTGATTGGAACACTTGAATCCAATGATTTGGAAGGGTGTCCCAACACTTTTAGCAATATAATGTATCTTACTTCAGGACTATCCAGAGACCCTAATGAAGTAAATGTTTAACCAATGACTTTCTCAATGTCAAAGTAGGCATGGGCATATCCTGCAGCCTTCTCTAGAGTGCTCCTGGGTAGGTTGCTTCCTCAGACAACAAGCATTGTATTATGGGGGTGTGAGCAATGGCTGTGCCTTTTTTGAGGAAGTAGAAGCACTCAAAATAATAAGGAACCTGTAGTAAGGAGGTATGGAGGTTGTCATTGCTATCTTTTAATGCTGAAAATACTAGTTCTTTGCTATCAGAAGGTTACTACAGCCAATTAAAGGTGGGCAGGCACAAAACAGTTAATTGTTCACATGCTGCCTACAAGGGTGGATACAATATTTTTTTTAGGTAGTCTTTTCTCTATTTTGATGCTCTTCTTTGACAGGGAAAAGATTCAGGAAATAGTACTCTTAATTATAGTATTTCCTGACTTGGAGCAAGCTTTCTTTCCTCCACTACTCATCATACTTCAATGCTTAGAAAAGTAAAAACGTTCTAAGAGCGCTAGAGGGTATCAGGGTTAAACTGCGTAAATGTGTTCTATTCAATGTGTTACTTATATGCTTCTCACCAGAATTACAGAGATATTGACTTACTAAAACTGGAGAGTGCTAAATCTGGTGCATCTCTGCATAGAAACAAGCTTCCAGTTTTTTTTTTTTTTTTTGTCAAAGCCTATTTGAACAAGCTGAAGTTTAAATCTGATTGGCTAACATGCACAGCTGAACCAATTTTGCGCTCTCCAGTTTTAGTATATTAACCCCATAGGCTTCTAAAAAGGAAACAGGTAGAGAGAAAAATATGGTGATCCCACTTTGAACCATTCCATCTAAAAATGCTAGTTAGCCGATGATCATGCAGCTCCAATGGCTTCATTATTTTCTGAGCTACTAACATTGAATGAGTAAGCAAATCAGTAGTTCTGAAATCACTTATTTGTTCTGAGTGATTGACCTCAAGTAAAGATAATGCATCGGTATGACAGCAAGTCAATAAGTCTACATATATTTCTCAGTACAGGTTTCCTATTAATAGAAGATGACAATGCAATAACTCTTAGGGGCCCAGCAGAGTTAGCCATTTTTTGAGCACTTTTTATTAATGGAAAGTGAAGCTTTTTAGGAAACTGACATAACATTAAGCAGGATTCTAGCCAGGGGCACAAAACACAGTGATACAAAAATGAAAAGCAAATACTCCAACAAACAATGCAACTCGCCTGAATCTCAGATATCTGCTATCAAATATATCTGAATTATCCACTTGCCCTCCAGAGGATTTACCCCCGTTCCTGACCAGGGCTTTTTGGCGTTGCAGCGCTGCGTTACTTTAACTGACAATTGTGCAGTCTTGCAATGTTGCACCCAAATGAAATTTACATCCTGTTTTTACCATGAATAGAGTTTTCTTTAGGTATTATTTGATTGCCTGTGCGGTTTTTATTTTTTGCGCGATAAAAAAAAAAATACTGACAATTTTGAGAAAAATTTTGCTATTAAACATGTCCAGTAAATTTAGGCCAAAATGTATTCTGCTGCATGTCTTTGCAAAAAAAAAATCCCAATATGTGTAAATTAATTGGTTTACGTGAAAGTTTCAAATAGCGGTATAGATACTGGAATTTTTTTTTTCTAGTAATGGCAGCAGTCAGCAACTTATAGTGGGACTGTGGGCATTCTGACACTGGGGGGGAACTGACTTGGTGTCACTGACATCCCAAGTGACACCAATACAGTGATCAGTGCTAATAAAAAGCACTAACACTGTACTAACGGCACTGGGCAGGAAGGGATTAACATCTGGTGTGATCAAAGGGTTAACTGTGTGCTGTGTGTGTTTTACTATGGGGCTGTGTCTGTGCTTTCCACTGTAAGCACACTGCTTTGTATGGATGTGCTATGCACAGCCATACAAAGCAATGTGCTGGAGCTGACAGGGGAGAGAACTGTATTGTTTACATACAGTTCTCTCCTACGTTGGTAATACTCGTCGATCACCGGGTGCCAGCGAGTATTCGCCGGCCGAGACCCGGTGATTGACAGTCGAGGCCACAAATAGCCGCCAATGGCAGTGCGGGTCAGGCCCCCTACCCAGAAATGTGAAATCACGTGTATATATACGTGATTTTGCGCACCCCCGCCACCCTCTAGCAGTTTTCTGCTACAGGGCAGCGGGAAAGAGGTTATGTGAAAAAATCCTTTAAAAACATGCATTCAAAATAAAACTCCAACTGTGGATTGGGATTCCACTAATGAATTTAACCCCTTGGTGATGGCGCCTCCCGGCCCCTTAGGGGTTTCAGATGCAGGGAGGCGAGGAGGTGTTTGGCTTTAGGTACAAATACAGTATATGTGCCCCCTCGGCGTTAAGACCCACTCGCTGAGAGGCTGCATATGCATACAGCCAGCATCAAGGAGTTACCATTGACAAAAAACTAGAAAAAGGCACACAAAAATTTTAATAAATTATGGGTCTCTCAATACCCTCCATCAAGAGGAGGAGAAAAACAGTTCTATGTTCCAGTCACAGAGGAAACTAGGCAAATGAACATCTCTATGTTTGCCTGTACTTCCAGCTCCCATGAGGTGCACACTCAACATTGCATTGCTTTTCAGCTTGCCAAGTAGAGATGAACAGGCCACACACTGATGCCATCATCAATGTAATCCCAGTTTTAATAAATAGAAGATTCATAATATCCAGTATAGTGTCGCCTGTCCACCTTTCTAATCATGGATGCTACATGTTTAAATCAACATTTAAAATAAGTTGTGAATCCTCTATTTGTTATATTAATGCTAGTTTCACACTGGTGACAGCATCAGTGTGTGGCCCATTCATTTCTAAATGATTAGATAATTTTGATTAGGATATTGAACTATATTTGTTTTGGTGGTGACTTACACAATATATGAACAATCAGTTTCTTAAGGTCTGTGAAGGCATTTTTTAGTCCTTTAAAAGACAATTAAAATGCAGAAATACTGAAAGTTGTATCTCAGTTGTATAGAAGGCCTTCCAAAGCTTAATGTTTGAGGATATACAAAACATTGAGATATAACGTTAGGAACATTTGAAACAAACAATAGAGGCTTAAAAACATTTATATGAGTGGAGATAGATTATCATTAGAGAAGCAGAGTACAATATTATTGACTACTTAATACAGTATGTATTGTGATGCAATTAAAAAAAACTAAACAGAGTGTACAGCTATCTTGTCATTATCCCAAATATCACCAACAAATGTCCACATGGCAATAGAGGAAGGACATGGAATTGATTTTTAGGCTATAGCTCTGTAGGTGAATCTATCAGTATACATTGGTTTAGTTAAGCTTTATTGACAACATTTTGTTTCTAAGGAATGGTAAGCTCCATGAGGAAGGCCCTCCTATTCCTTATGTATTGACCTGTATTGTAATTGTACTTTCTCCATTTACATTGCAAAGCACTGCACAAACTGCTGGCACTATATAAATCCTGTATAATAATAATAAAAGTGATCACTTTATACATAATGTTCACTTCTAGAAATATAGCTTTTTTGATGTACAGTTACATCTCACTTTAGAGGGTTGTGTTCTTATAAAATCATCATAGAAAGCAGCCTCCGTGAACAACTTACTTTATTATGCCTAAATGCATACTAAAATAGGATATTCCAGCTGGCAATATCCTTTGATTATGCAGGGATGGTTCAGAGCAGGAGGCTTTTTTCAGACTATAGGTTCAATTCTCAAAGCAACTCACCATAAAAATACTTATTTTCACTACAATTAGATTTGAAAATTACAGTCAATAGATAAAGATCCTTATCCTTCTGTTAACTTTGTGTATCAAGCCCCTTGTATGGACTTGAAAGACTGAGATTGCCCAAGACAATGTACATATCAGAAAGGTAAGAATAGATAAAGTATTGTTTGGCACCAAAAGATATGACCAATAAATAATACTGTTAGATTAAGTACATTTAGCAATTAATAGAAAGATGTTGTGATGATACTGTCTGATACAAATAGGTAATGTTTTTGGTTGATTTTGAATGTCTTTTTCTCCCCTGTTTTATATGATTATAATTTTGTGTTCTATTATTGATGTCATACTCACCTGTTTGATGCTCCAGTTCCACGTTCTCTTTGTCTATATCTCCCTGTTTCCTGCTTCCTCCAACACTGTAGGCAGTCCCAGCCCATTAAGGGCTCTCATCATTACTGTATGGGCAGGCATGTCCAAGACTCTTTGCAGATATTTGTGTCACCTCCATGGCCAAGGCCACTGCCTAGCTGCAGTTCCTATTACTATGCTTGGTTGCCTGTCTGTCTCCTAGTGGGAATTGACTCCTTGTAACAATTGAATATATTACTAATGTAAACTGGAGGTAATTAACTATGCTCTTCCTGGTGCAGTGAATACCTATATATGCCTAATGTGGGCACATATTTTTCTGCGGTAATGATGACCATTTTCAAATTGTCATAGTCACAGTTTTGCATATATATATATATATATATATATATATATATGCACACAGTATATGTATATCCGGTATATATAATATGGCTTCTTACCAGGATAATTTCTCCCCACTCCCATTCGCAATCAAATCAAAGCTACCTATGCTTGCATAGCCACCCAACTTGCATGTAATAAGGAGGGCCACCCTAGTCTGCAACCAAAGGTATATACTGCACTTTCTTGTCGCCACTCTAGCATAAATTCCCAAGGGACATGTCAAGGTCTTTTCTATGAGTATGCTTCCAAGAGTGATGTCTGATTGATTTAATCTGGCTCATACCAACTATATTACTATCAGGGCCTTTACGAGGCCTGGTAGCTCTTGTGGTATGAGGGTAACTTTTAAGTTGTGAGATTGTCTTGTAAGCACTTTCAGCTATCTAGACTTTTTGGAGTCTCTGAGTAGCATTACTTTGCAAGGGTTGCCTAGGATTTCAGCATCTGAGACAAATAAATGTATAAAGCTCAGCTTTGGGTGTTTTCTCTGAATCAAAACTTTTGAATCTTAGTTTTTAGTCCATTTCCATTAGCAATGCTGATAAGGGTAGATGCTTAGCAATCTCCAACATTTTATTAAACAGAAATTGAAAAGGTTCACTACTTTTCTTTGGGCTAGGTTCACATTTGTTCAAAATCACTGAAACAGAAAAAAAATGCATTCCTGTTGCAGGTGCATGGAGGTACTATTAATTGTTAACGGCACCACAGTGCACCTTGCTGAAGTACGTGAGAAATAGTGCAACAATGTGCATTATACCAAAGTACCATGCATTTTGCTGCATCACAATTTAAGAAAAAGAGTCATCCACTTCTTTGGTGCAATTTAGATGCTGTGGACAGATCATTCAGATTAATAGGTTGCCCTTCCGCAATGTGTGACAGCATGTGAAAAAGAACTCCCCTCTCCATCACACAACTGCCAACCTAACCTTAGAGCCACCATTCTGAGCACCAAGCTATCTTTCCCACATCAGTTGAAAACCCCCTTCATGGGATTTTAAAGGCAACCATAAACACTCAAAACATTATAAGTATAAAAACATTCTTTTATTATCCATATTATTGTAAAAAAGGTTGATCAACATTAAAACAATGTAATCAGAAACCAAATATCAGGTAGTATAGAGTATACATTATTTCACACATCCATATTCTCCACAAGAGTATTGCATTTGAATATGTGTTAGCTGGGGATACCACTGTGTATAGAATGTTGACAATTTGTATCATCTGGAAAATTAGCCCTTTAACCGCTTCCCGTCCGCCCTATAGCAGTAATACTGCTTCAGAGCAGCACAGGTGAGCAAAATCACATATATATATACGTGATTTTGCATTTCTGGGTAGGGGGCGTGCGCCCGATACCTGCACCACTGTGATCGAGGAGCATTACTGATGGAGAGAACTGTAAGTAAACAATACAGTTTTCTCCCCTGTCAGCTCCTGCACACTGCTATGCATGGCTTTGCATAGCAGAGCCATGCAAAGCAGTGTGCTTACAGTGAAGCATACACAACACACAGTAAAACAGCACACAGCACACAGTTAACTCTTTGATTGCCCCACATGTTAACCCCTTCTAGTGTTAGTGGTTTTTATTAGCATTGATCACTGTATTGGTGTCACTGGGGATGTCAGTGACACCAAGTCAGTTCCCCCCAGTGTCAGAATGCCTGCCACAATCCCGTAGTCCTGCTATAAATTACTGTTCGCTGCCATTACTAGTAAAAAATAAAGAAAAAAAATCCCAGTATATATACAGCCATTTGTAAACACTATACTTTTCACGTAATCCAATTAATTTACATGTACTGGGATTTTTGTTAGCAAAGACATGTAGCAGGATACATTTTGGTCTAAATTTATGACAAAATTTGATTTAAAAAAATTTTTTACTGGACATGTTTAATAGTAAAAAGTCAAAAATATAGTTTTTTTTCTCAAAATTATCGGACTTTTTTTTATAGCACAAAAAAAATAAAAACCATACAGATTATCAAATACCACTGAAAGAAAGCCCTATTCATGGGGGAAAAAAGATGTAAAATTTAAATTTGGTGCAGCTTTGCATGAATCGTGCAATTGTCAGTTAACGTAACGCAGCACCTTACCTCAAAAAATGGCCTGGTTAAGAAGGAGGGGAAATCCTCTGGAGGGCAAGTGGTACGTGTAGACCAAAAAAATGTTTTTATACTTATAATGTTTTGAGTGTGTATGGTTGCCTTTAAAAAACCATGAAGGGGGTTTTCATCTGATGTAATTAAATAGGGATGTTGGTAACCACAGTCACATAAACCTTTTTTGTTTCAGCTATCTTTCTCATTCTTTTGTCTACTGGGCTCAATCTCCTTCTCTGTGGGAAGTCCTTTACAAAACTAACATAAACCCCGGATCTCTATCTCCTCTTGTACTGAGGAGCAATCACCCAGCTCACTACAACTGTTAGCTCCATCTATCATTTCAGATTAACATTCAGGATAATAAGCACTTTTGTTTTCTCCCATGGTAATTGGACTATCTGAAATCATCAAAGCATTTCCAT